GATAATTTAAATCCGAAAATTTACATACCAACATAGTTTTTCATGATTTATTGAAAGGAAATGTGGAGAGCAACTTTCTTATTTTAAATACCCTGTATTTTATTGCATTGTCAAAGTCTACATTTGATACTTATCACATTTCTCTATACCCAGCATCAAAGATTTTCAAGTTATTCAAGATTTTTAAAAAATTTTAACGTTAACTGTTTATTTCTGATTCTGTTGACTTGAATTTCCAAAATCAACAATACTGACTTGATGCTACATGACAATGATTTGAATTTTGATTGCCCTTCTACAGAGTGTTTTAAAACGAATGGTCAATTTAATTAACTTCAAACCGTAAAAAGTTGATTTTTCAAATGAAACTTGCAAAAAAATAAAATTCTACATCGATCAATTCTTACATTCCTTATACCTAAGTATCTGGTCTGTTATGCTTTCCGATTTATTTTAGATTTTCTAAAATTGTGACCGTTATGCACAATTTTCTTAGGATGCTTTGAAACAAATGCGTTAGTTAGGGAATGTAATAATTGATCGATGTAGAATTCTTGTCGACATTTGAAAAAAAACAACTTTTAAGGGTTGAAGTTATCAAAAGTGACCCTTAGTTTTAAAACACCCTGTAGAAGGGTGATCAATGTATTGCTGCTTTTGGAAAATTGATTGAAATTGGTCATAGGTATAGGGCTCAATAGAAAAGCAGTCAAATGTCAAAATTTTTTGAAAAATCCTGAATAGCTTTGATGCTGGGTATAGAGATGTGGTATCAAACGACGTAGATTTCATGTAGATTTCGAAAATGCGATAAAATACAAAGTGTTCTATTTAAAATAATAAAGTTGCTATCCACATCCGGTAAAATCGGAAGTGAAAGTGATAATATTTCTATAGAGTATGAAATAACGGTTTGCGTCAAACAGCCTGTATAAGACCACATTTTGGTTCAGGTAAAATTGCCTCGAAGCGAATTTGTTTTAGCAACGATACTCGCTCACCAGGAATAACTTGCTTTTTTCCTAATTCGTAAGGTAAATACCGGAGTAGTATAGAACAACTTAAACCTTCTGCAGGGGCACCTCTAAAAAGAATTATGCGGGTCACTCTGTAATTGGGCGTAGAACAAGAGGGACAATAAATAAGAAAACTCGACTGCCCACGCCTGCCGTCAAAATTTCGCATCCAAGAGTATTCGCTGTGAGGTAAATTTTCCCTCGAAAAATTCGCCTATGAAATTTTCGTCCACAAGGGAAGTAAGTTTTCTCGATTATGTAGACGTAACTGGACGAGCAGAGATGGGGGATAATGAGGGCGCGGTTTCAAAAATGGGGTTCCGTCGCATTTTCTACTCTTTTAAAAATTTCAAAAACTGTATACAGAAATGTATTATTATTTACTACCTATTAAAGATAATTGATTTGATAAAATATTTCTTGGAGCACACAGGTTTTATTCAGGGTTTTTGGTTTTTTTACAACCCTAAATTACATTCTTTCATATGGACCATCCTATATATTTTGGAGTTTTTGAAAAGAGCACAAATTTTGACGTGTTACTTGTTATATTTATATTATATATTATTTGCAATACATAATTGCATTATATATTAAAATATTTTTTTTGCGGACGAGATTGCAGACATCTAGGTTTTTATGGCGAACAAAAGATGGCAGTATTATGACAATTACTTTGTTATCTGGAAATATGTATTCCATTATTATTTCATCTTTATTTAACTTTGTATTCTTTAAAGTTTAAAGTAAATAGGATTCTTTTCAAATTTAGTGAATAACGAATGATAACAATTATAACCATAAAAAGATTTGTCTGGCAGATCCGCTAACGCGTTGTTTTCAAGGTCTCCTAAGAAAATAATTACGCATAAGGATCAGAATTTTAAAAATTTGAAATATAAGGGAAATGTAATAATTGAACGATAGAATTTTTCGACATTTAAAAGTGCAAAACATGCTGTATTTGAAAAAAATCAACTTTTTAAGGTTTGAAGATATTAAAATTGACCATTAGTTTTAAAACACCCTGTAGAAGGTCGATCAAAATTTAAATCATTTTCGTATCAGTATTGTTGATTTTGAAAGATTTTTTGAAATTAGTCATAGGTACCGGGCCCTAAAGAAAAGTAGTCAAACGTAACATTTTGAAAAATCTAACTTGAAAACCTTTGATACTGATGGGTATAGGGAAATGTGGTATCAAACGACGCACGTAGACTTGATGTAGATGTAGATTTAAAAAATGCAATAATATACAGGGTGATATAAGAGAGTTGCTATCCACATCGTGAAACGGTCATGATAACATTTTCTTTTGATAGATCATGAAAAACTGTGTTGGCATGCAAATTTTCAGATTGTTAATGAGAGTCTGAATACTTTTAGGTAACGGCCTGTATATACAATATACCGGATGGGATCTCGAGCTTTAATCCCTCGTGGAATCCTACCATGTATACGATTTCCTGAAGTAACCAATCATTAAAAAAGAGTTTAGTTTTGGTAGCATCTCGTACTGACAAAACCTTTGATCAACCCAAATCCTCTCTATCGAAACTTCGTCCTTTCGGCTAAATAGCACGAATTGGTGCTTTTTATTATTTTTTTTATTTATTGTCCCTCTTTTGTTCTGGGCCCTCAACAGGCTTGCGTCCACTTGCGGAGAGACTCGCATAATGCTTTTTAGAGGTGCCCCTGCAGAAAATCTTTATGTTCTAAATAATACTCCGGTATTTACCTTACGAACTAGGAAAATTGCAGGAAAACCTAATTCGGAGTAACCGGCAGAATGCTCGAAACTGGTCTAAGGAAATTGGTGATGTTCACTGAAATCTTCTGCCCTCCACTATAACAATGACTAAACTAAAGCAGGGAGTTCTTTGCGGATTGTCGAAGATTTCTACGAGTCTATCGAATACGTATACATTTTACTTCGACTACTATATTCCTACTCCTTTTTCTCTTATTATATAGACCGTGGCTTGCCGCGGCATTTCCCATTACTCAGAGAGCTGAACTACACTTTCTGAACTTCTGCACCATAAGTGTAGGTACTTTCTTTTTGTTTCACAAAAATGAGTTTGCTCATAGATGAAAGCGATCAATCGCCGATATGGTTGCTGATTTCAATTTTTTAAATAAATAATTAACTATCTATTGGCGCTAATCTGAAGCTCTTTGTCCTGAACAAAACTAAATAAAATGTATAGAAGAAATTATACCATGTTATAAAATGTGATTGGGTATTTCCACGATAAGACGCAAAGCAAATGATCCCATGGTTGGTGGAAGGCGCAATGCTATTAGTCTGAATAATACCTATAGGCGGGATTTAGTGCATTTTAAGACATCATTTTAAATTGTATAGTTTTTAACACAACATGGATACAGACATCGGTATATAGGAACATTTAAATAGTATATTAAGATACAAGTGTATAATCAAGTCTTTAATGCACGCGCAACGAGTTTAAGGGCACGACGCAAAGCGGAGTGCCTTTAACGTTGCAAGTGCTTTAAAGACCAATTATACACGTGTATCTTATAGTATTTTTTTATTATACCTGCAGTATAATTTAAAAATAGGAAATTCAATGAAATCATATTGACGTTACACTCGAATACATGTCTAATTAAGTGGGCTGGGTGTTCGTAATTTCACGATTGCCATGGAAATGTCACTTGACGTTTGCTTATAAAAATCATCGTCTTTGTGAAATAAACGATTTCCGTTGAAAAAGATAATACACCGTCCATTAAATCGATTGTTGTAAAATCTAAACAAACGTTGATAGGTGTAAAATCCAACTCCAGTAAAGCATATTATAAAGAATATGAAAAATTGTCTCCATGGATGAATAGGAAGTTACGAATAAAGTCTTAAATGCATCCATAATGCTGGCATATATGAAGGAAATGTCAAAGGTATTTAAATCTTCTATATTTTGGTGCATTCATTCAAAACTTTCAAGCAATGTTGCGATTAAAAAGTGGAACAGATTTGGAAGCATACCCTAAATTACGCGCGTTTGTGAAAGCTTCAACCAAAGGATAGGTACAAAAGCCAAAGAGATGTTCTGCATTTACAGAAAGCGACCTAAGAGGATTTTTTTATTTCATCCAGATGACAGTTTCAAAAGTCATACTTGAAGTATCGTTACTTAGCAACTTTAAAGCACGTGTGTTTTAAAGGCCCTTTTTCGCACGCATTTGAGTGTTATAGAGCCCTATTCTTGAACGCGTGACTACCGTGTGAGTGAGTGAGTATGACGTCATCTCGAGCGATTTTCATATTTTCGTATTCTTGACGCTTTAAACCGTTCGAGTGGTTGACTCACACTGTCACATGTCGAGCGCTTTCAGTCGATCAGTTTTTTTTCAGTGACTTGAGTTGTGCGATCCTTTTAAACTGATTTTTGGTGATCTTACTCGTATATTTTCCTAAAGTATAGGCAATAAATAAAACCGTCACGCTTTTCGTGAGTATTTTATGCATCCTTCACCTTGTTTCTCAGTGTTTATATGATTTATGAATGAAATCTAACCTCGCTTTTGATAAATTTTCGTGCTCGTTCTCCTGTGATTTCTAGGCGATTTTTATTATTTATTTATACGAAACTGTTTATTAAACTTCCTTCTTTTTAACGATATAAAATAGGTTCTCACCTACTGAAATACATGTGTTGATGTACATTTCAAATGTGCACAATAGAATAATCATAAACTAGTAGACACAATCACTACAGACCGACGAAAAGGTATTTTCTCAGGAAGGAAGTGACTAGTCCAAAAAATCTTTTGTCGATCTGGTCTTGAAGCAGTGCTACACTGTATAAGAAAAAAATCACGAAGAAAAAGCTTAAAACGGAGGAGTAGTAGTGGCCCAGATGGACCAAGTGCAGGCAACAGCTTTAATTTTCTTTTAGGAAAATGCACTGAAAAATTTATTAGCCGCTCCCCAGCACTTGTAATTATACAACTAGAAAATTTATATCATTATGTAATTATCAATAAAAATCGTTTGTCGTTATATTTTACATATTACCATTAGTTGGAGCTATATTTAAGTTTTTTTAATTCTAGCAATTGTGTATTAATAATGAGTTGCTGTTCCATTAAAACAGTTTGTTGCCGTAAGTGCTCAATTTTTGCGTCGTAATAGTCTTTTTTTATTTTTAATTTTTTATTCAAATATTCTGCATATTCCGCCCTCGATTCTTCTGCCGTTCGCTTCTTCCCTTTTTTAACAATTTCTGAAGCTGCTGAACTGGTTAGATTCTTGGATGTCGTGGGTTGCGTAGGTGGGATTTTGGTTACCTCGTCAATGTTGATAACCTCGATGTCGACTTCGTCAACAGGGTTCAATATTATGGGATGAACAATTGCACCACTGGAATTGGAGATCATGGATGTGGCTAAAAGGACAAGGAAAAATTGTAACGTGAAAGTTGTTACAAAATCGTAGCCTATATACTTGTATCATTCGCATGGAAATTGCAGACACTTTCTTTAATTAATGAATCTCCTTCTACCACTACCGGCTTGATAAAAGTGTCCACAATATCCTGCTCGAATGTGGTCAATTTTTCATCACTGGGGGGACCGCCACCTGTTTGGTTTGTTGACCGGTTGATTCTGGCAGCTTTCGCCTTTACGCGAGAATATAAATCTTGCCAAGTCTAAAATTGCAACAATATATATAGCTTTAATAAGGTATTGAGTTGCATATTAATGAAAACATTACTTTTCGCCAATTTTTCCAATCTTTGTAAGGCCTTCCAGTGCTATTCAAAGATGCTGCAACCGTCTTCCACTTCTCGTGTATATTTTTGTTGGTAAAATTAGGTGACGTTTTCCCTGCGCAATGAATCACAATTTGACAGATTCAAACAAGTGACATGAGAAAAAAGTGAGAATACAGTGGTGCCAAGTTGACAAACTCGAGCGGTTTTCAATTAGTGTCAAGAATACGGAATTTGGTGAGTGAGTGAGTCACCGATGACAAAGTTACCCACTCACCGATTTTTATCGAGCGGTTCAAGAATAGGAGTCTAAAACGGAGATTGTGATTCAGGTATAATAAAAAAACACTTTTTTGAAGTTTTTTACTAATTAACTAAATAATGTAATTAACATTCACATTTCACATAATGCAATATATACCGATATCTGTACCTATTATGATTTAAACTAACTGATTCTATAACAATTGAATACTCTTATCTTGATAGAATCGGACTTAAGATTGAATGAAATTTACATCGTTTACGAATTTAAATATAATTAATGAAAACTGCAGCAATTCAAATTTTCGTTTGATTGACCAATAAATCGCTTGTTTTTTCGCAATGCTCAAATTTATACATGTCCATTGTTGATTTCTAATGAAATTTCAAACATTTTGGGTGTTAGGTAGCAGAGTTCTTTAAAAAGCGTGGTATTCGCGTTGCGTGAATATTTCGGCATAACGTTTTGCAAAGTTGAACAGAAATTGTGAAGACAATCGAATGTCTCGATAATTTTGGAGAGAGACATTCGTTTTCTGTGAATGGGGGTGATGACATGTTTGGTTATCATCAACGAGGAGTAGGTACATGTAAGTAGTAATAAATGGTACATTGGAGGGGCTGTCGAGTAGGAACCAGTATCATGGACGAAGTGTTTAATCAGCGATTTTGCATTGCAGAATACTGTGCTTTTATTTGAGCAGGCACAAGCCCTATGCGTGTCGTACGTGATGATCGTTAAAAAAAGGAAAGTTGATTATGTTGATAACGCTAAATTATAACATGATACGTGGCACGCCATATTCTTAAGTGTCTGATTTTGATGGCTACTTCCTCTCATCTACACCAACGCAATATCGGTGTCAAGATTAAGGATCGCTACCTAAAAAATTTAAATTTGACAGCGATTTAATTTTTCTCCTTTCATATTTTGAGGCCCACACTTTCTTTTTCATTACATCATTTATTCGTCATGTGGGACTAGCGGTCTTGGCATTGAAAACTAGACCTGCGAAATAAGTTGCATTGAACTTAGAGCTGTGATGAGTAACTTGCCAAAAGTGTTTCTGCAATTCGCGACCGATTTGGGAATTTCTTTTACATCGCCGTCGTTTGTTTATCGTTTATAAGTCAATAGAAAACTTGATAATGTCCATCGTTAACTGATTATTATGACGAAACGTCGTTAAAATAATAGCGTCCTCTTTATCTTTGTTCGTTACCTCAGATTTCACAATATAACTGAAAATGTACATACGAAAAACCGGCATGTGACTAAGGTCGCTATGGCAATATTTTAAAAAACACTATTTTCATACAGCCTTGTTTCGAGCTACGTAGAATATGCGAATCGGTAGCATTCGCGAGTTCTCCTCTACGTCACCACGACCTACTAACCCCATTCGAGAAGCTCGCGTTTGAAGTGGACGCCGCTGGTTGCCGTTGCCATTGAGCTGCCGGCAACGAAAGGAAGCGTGTGTGTTGCGCGCGGATACGACGTCATCCTACTTTCATGCTCATTTAAACATTTTTTTTTCGAACAATTCGCGCGGTTTCTGCGTTCTTTTCCGCATCGAGTGCCACTTACAGTGCTCGCCGAAATACCGACTCCCTGAATTAATATGTACCGGCCGTTGTTGTACGTGTTTAATACGTCAATAGTCTTCGCCGTGCGTGACGTGTTTAACCTAGTGCTAGTTGGAAATACTTGAAGAAATGAATTTGGAATGACCAATTTCGGGGTTAAACTCTCGGTGCCATTGGGATTTATAAAAGAAGTGCTGTAAAGATATACAAAAAAAATTGTGATAAATGTGTTCTGCTAAAGCCTTGTGTAGTGTCTAACGCCACCATAAACCTGCCAACTGTTCTAGTCACTGCCTAACATCTGTTCTCTGTGATAATGTTGGAGCACACCATGTATTTCAACGTTCCTCCAATCTGCGATGATGATTCCTCCAATTTTCTGGATTTTTATACCCGGTACGTGTATTTCTGCAATTGGAATCGGTTTCCAATCAACGGTGTGCGCTGCGGTCGCCCGTTTTGTTTTTATTTACTTATCAAAAACTGATAATTGAGCGAATGTTACACACGATCCGAATGTGCGCAGTTATTCACTTACGTATAACAGTGCCAAAAATAGCGTGGTCAGTACCATTCGGTCGATAAGCCTAAAACATGGCATTGTTACAAAAGTTCACTTCTCTCGCATTCTCATCTTTAACGACCAGCTTGTCCTTGCAGTTAATCATATTTTTTACAAAAACTTCTAATTTTTCTTATATTTACTACCTAACAGGTTTATAAACGCCACGATAACTTAATCTTTACGGTTCTATTTTGTTGTAGCACTCGTTCCATACGTGATTTTTACATGGAGCAACCTATCTTTGTTTTTTTTTTTAATTATCTTGATGCACTAAACGTTGAGGTAGGAGCGAATAAAGCCGTTCATCGAATTTTCCTCCGCCATGTTAGCGACGAAAAATATTGATCGACACGAACACGAGGTTCATTGATTTTTGTTACGTACATGCAAACGAATTTTGGAGAGGGCATCGAAAGAAAACGGAAACTGAAATTTGGACACGCTCCAAAGACGTCCTATAAAGTTACAAAAATGATTGGCAATGTAATAAAAATGGTGTACTCTCACGCTTTGGCAACTCAGTTAAGCGAAAAGCGGCCAATGTTTTAAGGTTAGGGTTAATCGATAGTTTATTTTATTATACTTTCGCTGGCAAACTTAGTCCAAGTCGTGTATTATTAGAAATTGATTTTGCTTTTAACGTTACACCAAAATCTCAACACGGAAGTCAAAAATTAAGCAATCGCAATCAAGGAACCATTTCCGAATTTTGAATCAATGTTGAACTTAATTGGTGCGGTTGCATATCGCTTTCATTGTAATACGCTCCCAACAATTCAGTTCACTTTTATTATTTTCTTCCTAAACGTCATTTATCTTTGTGGTTATTTGCAAATGTAGTGATCGGCATTAGATTTACCTACTTTAATTAACTGATTAAAAATGGGAGATTTACTGTACTGTTGGTAGATGGGAAATGCTAGATATTGTAAATCTTGCCTGTTAGTATGATCCTTTTTTTTTACATAACATAAAATCTGCCTTATTCGGATCGGACTTCTTAGTTATTTACTTTTCTCCAAGGAGGGAATCGTAGATTAAGTTTCGTAGAACAAACATAGATGCTCCCTATTCATTCGCGAAAACAATTTTCATATTTTTTATACTAACCTTTACGGGATTTGGATTTTGCACCTACCAACTTTTCTTCTGCTTTTAGAACAAGCCATTGAATGGACCACACCGTGTTATCTTTTTCAACCGAAGTCATTTTATATACAAAGACCGTGATTTTTTATAATCAAACGTCAAGTGGCAATCATGGAATTATAATTAGACATGTACATATTTGAGCTCGTATTTGAGTATAACATGTATGATTTTATTTTATTGCCCTTATTTTTAAATTATATTGCGGGGTATATTAAAAAAAATACTATAAGAAACACGTGTGTAATTCGCTCTTGAAATTTTTAAAGGCACTTCAGGTATCGAGCCATTAAACTCGTTGCGCGTGCTTTAAAAAGACTTGATTATACACTCTCTATTTGAAATCCGCTGATATCAATTTCCTCTGACATGTATGGATGTAACTGGGAATATCTATCGCTAATGTCTTCCCGAGTGTCTTCCCATATTCCCTGAAAATTCTTATTCAATATTTTTTGCGACTCTTACCTTACCATCTGAATGTGTTACAATCGTACTAAAAAATACACTGGTGATCGAGCTTCCTCCATATTCATCGATGTTATCACCATAACGAAAGAACATCCATCTTGCTCTCTTTCTGTTGCTAGTGCAAACACTTCCGTCAGCAGCTTTTTTGTCAAAACATGATGGGCAAAAGGAAGTTCTTAAACAGTTTCCATGTTTCTCATGATGGCGAACAAGATATACTGTACAGGGTGTCCCAACTTAGATGTGCTGCTAGGAATATAGGGAACGGGCTTACACATTTTCGGCTCCTTTTCCAAGAGGGTTGGATTATGTTGAGCCGTTATCTGAAATAGCAACGTGGCAAACGCGCAATTTCGAAAAGTGACTCAATTCTTTTTTGAAAGTTATTTTACGTATTTTTGAAAACATCGCAAAAACATAAGAAATAACATCGTTTTATACTCGAATTTTGCACAAGTTCCAAATATTCCTACGAATTTTGCTCGGAATTTTGTATTGGGACGTCGAAACTGGTATACCGTGTACAAGATACCAATCTACCTATGTAAAATGTACTATTGTAGTCATTCGCACAAATGGGTAGACTTTTCATCTTATTTTATTTTTGAAATATGAAAAATATTAACTATGCAGGCGGCGTGGCATTTAGAGGGTACGATTATCTCGAAAAGGTGCGTTGTAGGAGAGTACTCACCTAAGTAAATTTAATTGTCTGTACTAGGACACTTTTATTGGTGAGGTTGAAACGAATATCTTGCAAACGCCATTTCGGAGCTGGGTAGGTACTCAGAAAGGGCGAGTGCCGAGTGGAACGTCTGGGCGATACAGAAAGTCAGAGGAGGGTACTCTCAAATGGCGGTCTGGACGGGACACATCTAGTGTCGATCTAATATTTCAGAGAATTTCTCCAATTGCTTGATTCTGTTTGCTTTATACAGGGTGAGCCCGTTCGTTAGAAGTTTTTAAACATGCAGTTGAAATATAAACTTGAAATTTAGTTCATAGCCATAATCGAGCATTGCGAATTGAAATAAAATAATTTAAAGATGGCGCCGCTTTCGTAAATACCGGAAGTTGGCGCCATCTTGGTTTTTTAAAATAGAAATATACCATTTTTTATTTTTTTGTAAATGCGCTATTTTATTCTGAATTCAACACATTCAGATTTACGCATTTATCTGCCATAGTTTTTACCATGTTTGGCGTAGAGAACATGCAGCGCGTTCAATTTGAAATATACCCGAGAATGACTGGAAGGAAAATTTCTTATTTTAAAATTTTGATCAAGTGAAGGTAGTTCTGAGAACTAAACCCATAACAGGAGAAGAAGTAGAAAACGTTCTGTGATATTTTGAAGCATATTCCCGTGCTGTCATCATCTGCCTATTTTAGAATTTTCTATACCTCGATACTACAAAAAACCCTACATGCTAAATTTACTGAACTTTTTGAAGATCGTTGAGGGGGAACTTTGGCCCGCTCGGTCTTCTGATCATCTCCAAATTTTTAGATGACATATGTTACCTATAACACTGTTTGACAATTGATTCGAATGACATTTAAAATGAACCGATTGCTTCCAAACCCGACCACACCGAATAAAAAAATAAGAATAATTCTTTAAAAAAAAGTCAGTAACTCAAAAACTTCCGGGTATAGCCGTACAGAATGTTAATAAAAGTGATCCTAAAATTCAAAGTGGCATTCATTTTTGGCTTCAGGAATAGTAGTTGCATTGCAATTTGAAGAATCGCAGATATCCTGGAAACTTTTTCAAGACTTTCAGCGATCACTGAAAACATTCCTTCGAACTTCGACTTTAAGGATTCGATTATAAAAAAGAGCACTCACTTATCTCGAACGGTTTAAGACATATGAATTGTTGAATGGACCCTTGCATCTGTAAATTTTTAGAGAATAATTGGCATACCTATGTCAAAAACTATAACCAGATAGTAGGTACGCAAAATGGCGTACCTATTTAGAAAAAAATATCCATCTTGAAATTATTTTATTTCAATTCGCAATGGTCGATTATGGCTGATGAGAACCAAATTTCTATTTGAACTGCAGGTTTAAAAATTTCTATAACGACGTGCCAGACGTCATTTAAACGTTTGTGTAAAGAGCCCCCTTCGAGGTCCCCTTTCCATTATTAATGATTCACCAACTACTACCTTTATAACCGAAAAATTTACTAAACTATTTGCTATTTTGGTTTTAAAAATGTGCTTTATATGCATGAGAGTTGTGCAGAATTGACCTTGTATAGAGTAAACAATTCTATGGTATCTAATCCCTTCATATGTGAACTTATTAGTTGCGACAAAAATCTTATTCAAATGTAAAATTGTAGAAAAATGAGTAGATGCAATTTCCGGTTAAAGCGCAAGTATTAAAAAATTCCCATTATAGTCAACATATTCTTTGTTCTTTACAGTGTACACACACCCAACTTGAAAAAGATTGATTTGCAGATAACGGAGATAATTGACCGTTCCGTGACTTTTTGCGGATCCATTACCTAACAAAAAAAACTATGAATTCCAGTAGTCCCAATTTTAATTACACTATTTCTATCAGTAGGTAATTCTCTTATTTGGCATTTACTAATCTTACTTAATTTGAACTTTCATCACAGTTTCCCCGTCATTGAAATCGTTTACGCGTCTATGCAGATAGTAGTATATGATTTCAAAATATTATTTACAACGCGTAGTATTTTTATCGTTAAATTTCTGTAAGTGATCTTCCTTTCCTGGCGTTACTTTTGTTATTTTTCAAAAAATAAATTATTTTATAAATATAAAGTGTGAGGAGTGAAATTAATGACTGAGGCGCAAAGAAATGAGTCTTCTATTGACGATTTTTCGCTTAGGTGCGCCCGACTTTAAGAGGTGCCAAAACTAATAGATTTTACAATACGTGCTTCCAGTAAGAATGTTCAGGTGAGCCGAGTAAAAAATGTATCAGTTTTATGTTAGAGCCGAAGTTAGAGCCATCTAAAAATTCAATTCCAGCGACAAGAACAACCGAAAAAAAGGTAAAAAAGTTAGGAATTTATAGTCAGGGGGCCTATTATGGACCACCATCAGATTATAGTCCTTTTTTAGGTTATATTGCACTTATTTGTTCACCATAAATTTGTACGCAAAATGATAGCGAATATACGGCTATGCGCACTACAGTAGATTGTGTATCTAGTAGTAAA